AAAAAAAACGACAAATAATTATGAATATCGTCTATATGATCAAATAAAAACCACAAGACATCTACAGAAAAGAAAAAATTTAAAGTAAGTGCAACAGCATTTTGCTTAGGCATCACATTACCATAATAATATACAAAAATAGATCAATTGACGTAAAAGTCAAAAGGAAAATAATAACACAAAATTATATAAAAAAAAAAAGAACATATAATGGAAGACAAAAAAAAACAAGAATAGGCTGCTCAAGTATATATGTATGATGAAAAATGATACATAAATTTTTTATTGTCTTTATAGGAAATAGTTGAAATACATCCCTTTTATTTTCTTTTAATAACAAGCATCAATTTATATATACATATTTCGAAAAAGAAAAATTGCATTATTTATTTTTTTTTTGTCATCAACAAATTTTGCTGATGTTGATTGTTCTTGAGATAGACAAATAGAGTTTAAAGTTTATTAAATTAATTAACTGTAATAGTAGCATCAGTACAATTTTTTGCATCTGTCTTACTTTTTGATGTTGATCCACAATATGTATTTGTTGCTGATCTTATATTAGGACTATTATTTATACCTGAATTTTCATCATGAATTTCTGATGTTGGTATTGGTGTTGTCGGTAGTGATGGTGTTGATGTTGTATTTGATATTAGAGTTTTTTCCCACTCTCTTAATTGAATTATAAAACTCATATTAGGATCAACTATTTGACGTAATTTTCTCATTTTATCAAATGCTACATCTAATGTCCAATGATTTTTTTTCATTAAATAAGCAAGTACTAATGTTGGACTTCGACTAATACCAGCTGAACAATGTACAAGAACATTACCTTTTGAACGTAAAGCATTATCTAAATTTGAATTATACTTATTTTGTTTTTTTTGTCTATAGACAATATTAAAATGAAAGACTAACCAATAAATTCTACAGCAGTATCAAAATATTTACGAATATTTTGTGATGGTAAATCAAGTACATCAATTCGTAAACATTTATGTTTATTTTCCGAATAAAATGGTAGATCTGGTGTACAGTTTACAACATGTGTAATGCCATGTTGAGTTAAACGATCTAGATTTTGTGCATCATTTAAATTACCTGAAATAAAGATGTCATCATTATTACTAACTCTAATGTTTTTTTATTCTTATATTATATCATTGTAACCTTGGACTTGAAAATAAAAAAAAGCTGAAATCTTTTTCTTTATCTTATCCTTCGACCTTCAGTTATTCAATGTTTTTATACTGACTCATTTTTTTAATAATGTATTTTAACCAATCAATTCAATTCTGTTTTTTTTACGTCGTTTTTCTCAATTTTCAATTATTTCGGAGGAGAATTTTTTTTGTTTTTCAAAAAACAAACAATTCAATTATAATTAAAAAAAATTTTCCGTTAATATCTCAATGAATACATACCAACAAATATATGTGGTATAATTTCTGTCATAACAACATTTTCTTTATCAATTGATTCAGGAGTTGCTGGTACAGGAATAAGATCATCATCAGTTTTATGTTTAATTTGTTCAATGGGACATTCAATTAAATGTGGATATTCGGTTTTAATAGCATCTAAACCACCTAAACAAAAAATGAATTCATATTTCTATGTAATTTGAAATAGAAAACTTACCTTGAATAATTTGAACTTTTTTATTTGATTTTTGTGCTGCTTGTACAACAAGATTCATAGGTAGTGAACGCATTTTATCTTCTTCTGGTATATCTGTTGATTGATCATAGAGAATGACAAGATCAGATTTATTTAATGATGATGATAGATTTGGTTCCACATCTTCCAAACGTTTTGATGTTAATTTTCTCGCCATAATTTTTGTTCGACAATTTATATTATGTGATGAACGTATACGTTCCGAACCAAAATCCATTTGAGAACGACAATCAAGTATAGGCGGATTTTGTGAATTCGAATTTTGTGAAACTAATTCAACAAATTCTCTTGGTGTTATAAATTCACAATTACCAGAAAAACGTTTTGATGATGCATCCGAACAACTATAGGCTTTTGTTAACGGTACTCTTTTACTAAGTGTTGTAGGAGGTTTTGTAGGTTTATCGGCGTTAGGAAACATATTTATTGGTTTTTCTGCCAAAATATAATTATTATGAAAATAATTCATACCTTTAAACAAAACAAAAGATAAATTGCGTAAATTTTTGTTTTCATTTATTACTCACGTTAAATTTGAGTTTCAGTTCTTTTACTTTCTCTAATCTCTCTACATTTGTTTTTTTCTTCTCCTCGGTTTTTTGACATGTCTATTTGTTTATTACGAAGCTAATACGATATATATATATATATAAATAGTCAGTCATCAAGGGCAAGGAAAGAAAAAGAAAATAAATGTAAATAATGAGTTTTTTTTTTAAATATTTTTGTCTAATTACTAATCAGATAAATCTATTCTTAACAACTTCTAAACAAGAAAAAAAGATGTTGTTTATTCTCAAATCATATAAATGTCGTATATAATATAAATATTTTATAATAGATGTCGTACATATATACGAAACGTTGAAATTAGACTTTTTTTTTGTAGAATAAATATTAAATGTTCCTTTTTTTCTTCTTCTGTATACTATAATGATAATACATATATAAATTTTGTTTTTTACCTGTATAAAATTTTGTTGATTATGAATAATAAAAGTTTATTGCAAATATTTAGTTAGCCTATGAAATACATAAAACCATAGAAATGCAGCTGATGGCGACATTTCTTTTGAGTACTGACGAGCCCTATAAATATATAGACACCCCTTTTTTCTTCTCTACAAATAAACCTCTCATAAAGTTTCGATATCATAAGACATAGCGTCATGTTTCTTAAATATAAAATATCCATGTTATATAGTTTTATTGAGAGAAGGGAAAGTTTAAGATTAAAAAAAGAGAGAGAGGACGTGTAGACCTAGGCTTTACCCAATCAATGAGTAATATTTGTATAAACTTTCGATCTATTTGTTTAGGGTCAGAGTGATATTAAATTATTTAGTTTCAATTGGTTTATATGAAGTTTCTATTTTATATGAATCATATGCATGATGGATGTATTTTTTTGTACTAGTTGATCTTGTATATAATATTAAATTTTTTTTTCTCATTAATTCTTATTACTAAATAAAACGAACAAGAAATTTTTTTCTTGGGGCTCTTTTCTTTTCGTTTAATGATGTCATCGTAAATACCTTACTTTCTCTTCTTCTTCTTCTGTTTCTAAATAAGAGACGTAATTTGCTCTGTGTATGTAATTTGTCAAAGGACTCATATACTTGCTTCTAGAAGATTCGCTTGTATGGGGCAAATAATGACGACAGTTTTAAATATGTGACTGTGCACGGCTGTTCTTCATGTATAATATATGCTTAATCACCGAATAAGAAAATACAATGGGGCAAAAGTTCCGAGGGCATTTACATAAATAAGCAAAGCAAAAAATTATTTATTTTATTCATGACGCTGTGTTTTTTTTTATTTTTTTCTTGCCTATTTTACTCTTGAGAATTCTATATTCTGCGATATTTCATATCAAAAACAAAATGTGATACTTAAAGTAATTGCTTGACATCACATGCCGTTATATACTGTGTGTGTGTGTGAAAAGAAATTGAAAATATATGAATATTATTTTTTTTCTTCTTTTCAATATATTCGACGCAAATTTGAATTAACACAATATAAAAAATGGTTGACGTCATCAACCTGTATGGTAATGTACGTAAAATTAAAAGGGCATTTAAGTATATTTAAATGAAAAATATATGATTTTAGAGTACAGTTACTCGAAGTAACATTTGTTTTTTTGTATATTAAAATTAAAAGACAACAATCATGATTTTATACACATCATAGCAACCATCATTATCATAAAAGCAAAACGAGAGAAAGAGAGAGAGAATGTTAATATTTTGTTGTTGCTTTAGTAAGGTGAAGCAAAAAGAAAATTATAATGTTTACGACTAAATAACAAGATTATTATTGCTTGAAATAAAATATATTGAGAACATATGTGACCTATTTGAAAATTTTATTAATAGTGTATCTGAACTTATCACGTTTTACATATAGAAATTGGCCTTTAGAGAATATTTTTTTAATGTCATTGCTTTTTATTTGAAAAAACATAATAATTGAAGACCGTTAATAGATTTATTTGTTAATTCTACCATGAAATCAAACTATTGTAAACATATAATAAATAAATCAATGAGAAATATTTGTTATTCAAACTGCGCAATATTCTTTCATCATGTTAATAAGAAATCAGAATACGAAAATTTTAAATATCAGTTACACTTGTGATATTTTCATTTTGATTATTATCACATAGGTAATAGTTATCACAAAAACAAAATATTTGACGTCATACATTTTCAATGATGACGATGCAGTTTTCAAGGATTGTACTTTTAAAAATAAAATATCGAAACAATAATAATTATATAGGAGATTATACAAATTCAATAATATGTTCGGTACAGAAAATTTGCGAATTTTATATTTGATTAGCCTGCTGTTTTGTAGACTAACTCAGTCATGGTTCTTACAGTATGATGAGTTAGTCTTCACTTAAAAAATAGTTTTTTCGCCTTGTGAATTATTAGCAATATAATCAGATCTTTTCAAAAATCATTTTTATATCTTTATACGAGAACAAATTGAAAGTTAGATTAAAAAAATAAGATATATAGAAAATTAAAAATTTATTTTTTGATAAAGTGAGTAGTATGTCACTGGGCGATTGATATTAGTAAAGTTATCATGTTGTAGTGCAATATCGTGTATAACTACAATAAGGAAGAGACGGCAGATAATAGACATAATAATAATTACAGTTTGTTATAAGAACGTTGGCAACCGAATATGTACTAGAACACAAGTTGCCATTGTAATTAACACAGTACATACCCACTGTTGTTGTGCCATAAGTGGATGGAAGAGTACCATTGAACCAGCCTGAATAGGTTGTGCAGCAATCACCTGTGCTACTCGGAGTTGTAGCTAATTTAGTACCACCACTTCCTGTAAATTGATACCATCCAGCTGTCAAAGCACAATCAGTATAAGCAGGACCGGTACATGTAGTACGGCGTGTTGCATCGGAATTGGTTGTGTATGTACTACATTGAGAAGGTAAACTGCTGGAATCTATATTATTTGATTAGAAAAAAAAGAAAAAATTTGATAGTCATCCCAAGAAATATCATATACTACTTGTATCTGCTGTTCCATTAGAACTTATTTGAGATTCTATGATAGAAAATATAAACTTTTTTCTGATTATCTACTATTCATACTGTTAAACTTACTCAATTGCAAATACAATGTAGTCATAACTGCTAATGGAATACCAGAAATACACAAACCAACGACAACTCCTATTGTAGATGCCATTATGAAAAACTTCTTACTTGGAAGCATGGATCTTTCATTTAAAAGTAAAGAAGATCACATTTTTATTTTTATTTTATTAAGATATTTAGCACTTACTTTTTCTCTGGAACGGTTGGATATGGATGTTGTGTCATTATAGTTGGTGCCCATGGTTCTCGTATAGTTGGTGGATACAAGCGTGGTATATTATCATTGTATCTTACGAATGCCTGAATATCAGATGGACGCATTGTTGCAGAAAGTTGTTCATTCGGAAATGGTATTACTTGTGAAGATGGATACATACTTCTTGTTAGCAAAATTTCGTTTACCTTGTCACGATGTTTGCCTAAGATGTGTATGAATGATTGTTTTGTTGCTTTTTAACACCAATTTATTAGATTTTATGATTACATTAAAACATCATATTTCATGTAAACATAAGTTTTCATCAGATTAGATGTCCATAATTATGTTTACCTTCGGTCTCCTCGACAGTTAAAATAAGTTTTCATTAGACTGAATGTCCACAATTATGTTTATCTTAGTTCTCTTCGACAGCAAAAACAAATTTTCATCAGACTGGATGTCCATATTTATGTTTACCAGTTCTCCTCGACGGTAGGAATCTGTGTAAGTTTCGACGCATAAACTGAATCAATAATAAAAATATATAATATATTTGTAGATGCTGTCACTGCTGGTATATATGAAAAATATTTGTAGAAATTATTTTTCTACAATAGACTCATCATTTTTTGTAAGGGTTTTATACCATACAAGGTTCCAAACGTCCTGATCTTTAGTATTTTTTGCACTATCGATTTTAGCTATGTTTTAAACCCATCAAAAGACAGAGAGGAAAACCATCTTGAGGGTGTAGGTGTGTGTCATAAATATAATACCCACCCACACCCATCGATGATATCTCTGAACAATATTCCAAAGTATCTGCAGCAGAAATCTCAATTTGATTGAACAAAATAAAAGTGAGGAAAAAAGTCGCAAGCAGGCAACGTTTAATGCTTTGAATGAAAAACTATATAGTCATAGTTAAATAAAACAGAATACAATAAATCTCTTCTACTATATGAATATTTTTCTTTGAAAATTTTATAAAAGTCAAATTGACATAAAAATACTTGGTGATTTCGTAATAGTTTAAAATTAAATAATTCATGAATAATTATTACTCTTCTCTAAATCTTATCATACAAAGATTTCATATCAATGAAAAAAAACATTTGAAATTATTAATCTTTTTTAAGTATGTACGCTTATCATTTATCAAGAAAATATTGTTATCTATTGTTTGCAAAACATTTTATTCTTTGAAATTGAAATATTCATTGTTGTATCAAAGAAATTAAGATGATTAAATTGTTTAGTTATTCAGTTTAATAGAAAATAATAACAATATAATCAGTTTAACAAAAAAAACAAAAAATAACTAAATAAATCCTTGGTACTATTTCTTCTTATTATCTACGGAATTATTTTCATTCACTGATGATCGAGTATCCCATATTCCTGGTCGTTTTTCATCTTTTTCAGTTGAAATCATATTTCGTACGGGTCCAATACCACCAGTACTAAGTAGAATTTTTCTTGAAAGACGCATTGTACCTGATACAGGATCACGACCAAAATATTTCACTTGTAAATCATCACCAACATTTAAACCTAATGCACTTGGATGATCAACCTTAAATGACAAAATCGTATTTTAATATTTGACTTCAACGTTTTATTTTTCGGACGGGCGCCGCCCACTCGCGATTTTCCGGTTACGATTTTAAAAAAATCATGCAAGAATCTCGTTTATTTCTATTAGAATCAATATTCATAATATATTACTTTTCGTCGATCAAGTTGTGAATTGGGTAATAGAACAGGTGACATTGTTGGATATAATTGTATGAGAACACCATTCGAACGTATTTCAACAATTTTACCTGTATAAATTCCACCAAATTCAAGTTCGGGTTCTTTCATTTCTTCTAAAAGTTTATCAATAATTTGTTTTGCTTCAGTTAAGGCATCTTTATTTGGTGCAAATATTGAATAAGTTATTTCATCTATTGGTGATATGGTTACACCTAAATATTTATCATAGAAAAAGAAAATGATCTATAGAAATATGTTCATAATTACTTACCAGTTTGTGCTAAGATTTTCTTTAAATTCATACTACCAATTCCAAGAAAACGACCACGTTTATGACTTGGAATAGTTAAAGTTTCTAGTTCTGGTGTATTTTGTTTTTTAATTATACTCGGTTCTTTAATTGCTTTATTCATAATATCAATTATTTTACAACGAGCATCTATTTAAAATAAATAATTAGTCAGAAGGAAAATAAAAAAACTATTTTCTCTAACCTCGAGCTGCACGAAGAGCTTCCTGAACAATATTTAATGGTAAACCTTCCAAATTTTTTATATCAGCCTAGAAAAAGATAATTATTTACAAATAAAATTTTCTTATCAAAATCTACTTGTAATGCAGTTATACTATTTCGTGTTCCAGCTACTTTAAAATCAGTATCACCCATATAATCTTCAATACCCTATTACAGAAAGAAAAAATATTTTCTATAAAACAAAAAAAAACTACTTACTAAAATATCTGTTAATATACGATAATCAGTAATTGAACCATCATCAGTACATTTTGAAACAAGTCCAATAGCAACACCAGCAACTGGTTCCTGAATTTTTATACCTATAAAACAGTATACGAAAACGAATGATTTTGATGCGAATGCAAATTTTACCTGCATCCATAAGTGCTAAACTAGCTGCACATACACTTGCCATCGATGATGAACCATTTGATTCTAATACTTCAGATGTTAATCGAATCATAAATGGAAGTTCATTAGGTACAATAGGTTCAACACCTTTTTCTGCTAAAGCACCATGACCTAATTCTCTTCGATCAGCTCTTCCATATGTTCGACCAATTTCATTTGTTGCATATGGTGGAAATTCATAATGAAGTATAAATGGTTTACGTTTTATTCCTGTTCTCAATGCAAATTCATTATGACGATATTGTGAATCAAGTGCATCAAATGCGACTGTACATAATACTTGTGTTTGACCTCGTTGAAATAAAGCTGAACCATGTAATGGTTCATATAAATTAATTTTACAATTAATTGGACGTAATTGATCATATAAACGACCATCACAACGATGTGATCGTTCAAATATTAAATTTCGAAATATTCGTTTCACAACATAACCAAATGTTTCTGTTAAATTAATTGGAGTAATTTCTTCTTTTGATGATATAATTTCATTAAGAACTTGTTGACGAACAAGTATTATAGCTGTATCACGAGCGATTTTATCAAGTGTAGAATCGGTAAAGATTTTAAATAGACGATCATATGATAATGTTGTAAGTTTTTCAATTAAAGAATTATCAAGTTTTTGTAGTTCAATATTGGTACGTTTGGTTTTCGACGAAAGATTTTTTATTTGTTCAATTATTGGAAGACAGCATTCAACACTATATTGTAATGCAGAAAAAAATTTCTCATCCGATAAACGATTTGCTGATGCATCGATCATTACTTTAACAAAAGAAAAACATACGAAAAATGTTATTCAAAAAGAAAAATAAGTATACCAAGATGTCCTTTGGAATTAACTGAGACTACTAAATTCAGATCACTTTTTTGTATTTGTTGGCGATTAGGATTTACAATAAATTGTCCATCGATAGAACCGATACGAACAGCAGCTGAAAACATATCAATATAGTTCCAAAAACGAAAAGATTTAATTGGAAAATTTTACCAATTGGTCCATTCCACGGTATATCAGATGTTGCTATTGATGCAGAAGCTAAATAAAAAACGAAATTAACAATCTTGAGTATGTGGGTATGTGACTGGACATAAATAGAGTACGCCCACATTCGCCCACCCACCCACACCTAGAGGTGTAAGCCGTCGGCTTGGGCGCGCGTCGGCTCCAGCAAAAACGTCAGCTGCCAGCCATCGGCTTCAACAAAAATCGGCTGACGGCTTACACCTCTACGCACACCTACACCCTCAAACAACAAAAGATCTTAACAATGACTGCATAGCAAATATTCGAATCAAAGACTATCTGTTCATGTACAACATAACTTCATACCTGCATTAATTGCTAATACATCGGGTTCTGTCATACCATCTGCAGACAATATATTACAAGTAACCTAATATGAACACGAAATATATTTCTTATCATTTCATATCGAAAAACATTATACTTGTGTATCATAGACATATCCGTTTAAAAATAAAGGTCTTATTGAACGATCTAAGATAAATAGAAGTAGAATATAAAACGAAAAGAAGAGTTATTTCATAATTCATCTACCAATCATTCTTCCAGTTAAAATTTCATGATCAGTTAAACCTAATTCTCTTCGTAAATGGTTTGTTGGTATTCGACCAGCTGCTGCTGCTTTTTCTCGATAATCAACCTAAAATTAAGACAAAAAAATTAAACAATCTAATGGAAACGAATTTCATTTATACTGTTAATGGTAAAAATGATTGTTGAGCCGATGATAATGTTTTCGCTTTACTAACACTTGTAACAAGTACACTTGTGTTATTCATCTATGTACAATATCAAAAAAACATTGATTCTTAGGTTGTTTTTTGAATCATTACTTGAGCTATTGCACTTCCATCACTAAATCTTGCTAATTCATTAATTCGAAATGATAGACTAAATAATTTGAATATGATTTTCGATTTAATAATTATTTTGGATAAACATACCGACTCGCTGATCGAATATGAATTAATTGTTTAATAATTTTTCGTAATAAAATCATAATAGATTTTAATATCTGAGAAAAAGGAGTTTTATTTTTTATTTCAAAAGAAAAAAAATATGATTATAAATTTTATTTTAATATAAATACACATATGAATGCATAACAGTTCAGAAGAAAGAAAATAAGAAGAAAAACACATTTCATGCATGATTTCTATTTTTTTTTGTTTTTAAACTAAAGAATAAACAATTATTTTAAGAAATCATTTCTATTCATAGAAAGACAATAGGAATTGTAATTAAATCATGATTTTATACTATGCATTTCATTATTATTGTTTATTATTGATGAATTATCATCATCACTCAATTGAGAATGATATAATGAAGATGAATTTAATAATCTTAATGAAATTTTATACAATAAATAGAATTAATCAAAAAAGATTTTTATCTTACCTACTACTATGCACAGTATTTCGATCTGTATTTGAATGACTATCAGATAGTACTGTGTTTCCATTTGGACCTCCTTAAAAGTAAAATAAATAATTATTGATACTTTGCCAACCTGGCGAGTGCCAGCGGCACTTTAGTCAATGCACCGCTGGATTTTAGACATGTACAGGGTAAGCGTTTTCATTACCCTGCACTCTGCCAGAGTAAGATTTTAAGACCCTGACTCTACCTTACGCGCGTTGTATCCTGATCCTACCCTATAGGGTAGGGGGTCCCTGTACATCTTTACCGGATTTTTGCCAGATCGCGAAAGTCTTATTAGCGAGATCCGAAAACTCCGATGGTCTCTGAAAAGCCATTTATTTACAGTTTCATATCAATCTGATAAATATTACTCCTATCCTTTGCTTTATAAACACAATTCAATCAAGGATTGAAGTTTAAATTCATTGTATATCGAATGACTTGTTTTATGTTTATATTCATACCTTTGCGGAATACTTTATGTGAAAGAAATCTGACAAAACGATCACCATAATGACTTGGATTACAAACAGATATTTCTTCCTAGAACAAAAAAACAAGTATATATACTTTAGTATAGTGTTAATTCTCTGTTTTTGTTCATACCCGAGTTACTAGTGTTGATTTGAATGCATGTTCTAATTTCTTTCGAAGACGATAGTTTTGTAGAATGTCAATAATACCGACATATAATAATAATAAATCACCATTCTTATTTACAGCTGGTATACCGGCCCTAGTTAAAATAAAATACGAAATTTTTATTTATTGGATAAATAACGAATCATTTATTCAAATTACAGCATCATTATTATGAAAAAAAAGCATTTTGAATTTTCTAGAATTTATTATAAAACTTGTACTCTAAATTTTATTCTTGAAGTTTTCTCTGTTTGAACCTAATTGTCATTCTTTAAATACAAAAATCCCTTTGTTACATACTTCTCAGGCAATATTCTAATCGATTTAATTCTACAATATTTTTGTTATGTTAAAATTTCTATTACGACTGCTAAGATTAATCGTATTATTTAACTTATGATAATCATTTTCTATTCAAATTACTTTCATTGTTAAAAATGTAATTAATATAGAATAGCTATAAGCTTTAAAAACATATTGATATTTGAAGCGTATTGTAAATGCGAGCGAGCCAAAGCATATATATCTATCTCACCCAATATTTCATAGAGGAAATTTAAATTTTGAATAGAAATATAACAAAAACATACATTGCAAGACGAGAAAGATTTTGTCGATTGTACCAAACATCTCCACCTATTAAACCATTACCCATATGAAACGATGATGATATACTATTACTATGATTTATTGGACTTTTATTTATCATTTGACGTGTAATATTAGTAGAACTTGATCGATCTTCATTTGACTGAGAAATTTGCTCGAAGTGTTTATCTAATATTGGTGATAATTCTGGTTTAACGGTTTGTATACTTGATGTTTCATCATGATTAATTGATAAGGAACGTTCAATATTTAATGTTGAAGATTCCTGTTGTGTACGAATAAATTCAATAACACGTAAATATTGAATATATGTTGGAAGTTTAGATATTGTTGTCATCGTAATACCAGAATCTGTTGATGTTGTTGTTATTTCTTCATGAATACTTGATAATCTATTCGTTATAATATCTGATGAAATTGGTTCATTTAAAGATGTTGATTCTCTCGATGGTACAAACGATAGTTTATGTGTTGATTTCATTGTTTCAGTTATATTATGAGCAGCTAATAGAAACGAATAATCCATAATACCAAAACTACCGAGAACCTAAAAAAAAAGATTATCCTATATAAAATATCTTTTTTTTACAATAGATATTTAAATGTCGAGTTTACTCTTAGCAGGGGTGGGTGTGTGGCTGAACATAAATGGAATACGCCCACCCACACCCACACCCTCACCCTCGCCCAAGATTAATTCAAATTGTTGTACAACAGATTTCAATACCTTGATTCTAATAGATTATATCAATTTACTTACTCTAACATCATCTTCGATCGTTTGCATTAATTGATCATAAAAAAATGGTTCGAGTGTTAATCCATATGAATGTAAACATTTGAAATCATTATCTTTTAATGTTGGTAAATCACGTTTACGTTCTTCATCTGATGCTTTTCGTTTATAGATTGAACCTTTTAAATCATATTTTTCATGTAGTTTAACATTTGTTGGTACTAAGTTATTCATAATAACAAAACGAATATTTTTATTTGAACTTTGATAACAATAAAGGCCAAAGAATTTTGGTAGAAGTGTAAAAGGATTTTGTGTTAAATTCATATAATAACCCGGTAAAAGACTAAGTAAAAATCGTGCTTCTTTTTTTGATACTGTTTTTATAATATATGTATCATCAGATGTTAGATAAAATATCGAACCACTTGCACCTGGATTTGGTAATTCTCGTAAATCTTTTGCACAAAGTGATAACTAAAACATAATGAATTCAATTTATTCTTATTAATCCTATAAGCTAAAGAATCATAGTAAATGCATTAGTTTTTCTGCTAACATTGTTGTTGTGTGTGTAGTTTTTCTCCATTTCGTGCTTTTTTATCTTATCTATTATTTTGAGTATATTTTGATTAATAAACTTACGATGAATGAAGATGGATCAACTCCAAATGATTTACGAAAAAAACGAAATGCGGTTTGAGCATAAGTTTTTAAACGAAATTCACTATATGGATGTTTTGGTGTTGATTTTGAACCTTCACTAGATTAAATAAAAATAATTAGTTAACTTATTTCATATGTTAGTTAAAATAAAATTCGTAAGTTTTTAAGAGAAAAAAAACCCAATACTTTATACATAGAATCGTACCAAAGTTATTTTTACCTACCATTAGAAATTTAAGATCAATATTGTATACAAAAATAATAATTAATTTATAGAACTTCCTCTTTTTTACCTATGAAAGGTATCACAATTGACATTTTCTTTATTTCATAAGACTTACTAACGACCACAGAATGCAATCAAAACTTCCGTATTTATAAATAAATTTCTATTGAAATGCGTAGTTAGATATATTTAGAATGGATGTGCATTAGAGTACAAATCCTTCCCATTTTCAGCTTTGCGTGTTTATCTTAACTTTCTATTTTCGAGATTAATTACATTAACTTAATATTGAAAACTATTTCATAGGAAAGGTATCAGATGTCGTATATCAAATTTCGTAAGATTTGTCGTAGTAAACATGGTGATATTTTTAACCTTGTAATACACTTCAAGAAATAATTTTTAATTCTATTACAAACTATCAATATGAAATGTTGATTTTTTTTATATAGAAAGATAGTTCTTTCGTTATTTTTGTAGACAAGTGTTTGATCATACTAATATTACGATAAATAATAGAAACGATTGAAACTCATCGACACCGAATGTTTTTTATCATATCAAATGAAGAATGATAGATGATTACTGTGCACAATTAAACATTCTCTCTCATTTATTAATGTCGGTTTATGTCAATGACATATATAATATTTCCCTAATCTACGTCATCATAAAACCAAATAAATGTATTTTGATCTGCAGACTTTCTTTTTATTTCTATTCTCATTAATAAACTATAACGGAGAAGAAAAAGAAAAACAAATATTATTACGGTGGAAAATCTTGATATTCAATTTGTTGAAAATCTTGTATAAGCACTGGACGTTGAGGTTGATGATGTTTACCAATAACATAATTAAGACCTATTTGTAATGATTTCATAAGATCATCAACCATAACACGTTTATATGTAACATTTCCTATTTCATCAACACGACGATGACCTAGTTTTTCTCTATTACCCGATATATTTAATTCATTCATTGGTTCATTTTCACATATCTTTTATACAAAAATAAAAAAAAGCATAAATTTTATTATATAATTAAAATATCTTACTGATATATCTTCTCGGTTACTATTTTCTAATACTTGTTCGTCATTATTTATAGTGGAATGTGTTGAAGTTAAAAGAAAATCTGTTATTGAACCAACATTCGATGATATACATGATACAGTTGATGATAGTTGATTATCAAAAAGATCGGCTTGTAGATGGTCACTTGCTGTCATTATGTATCATGGAAAAACAACATTAAATATAAGAAAGAAAATAAGAAATAATCTATAATATATAAATATAGACGTATGTGTAGTTTTTTTTATTGCTTAAAAACAGATAACATTTATTCAGAATACTTATATCCATATCATATTCATGACAGCTAGATTATTGTGCTAATCGACAAGCTTCCTTTCTTCTTCTTCTTCTTTATTAGAAATAAGTAATCTAAGAAAAAGGAAAAGACTGGTCTTTTTTCTTTCTTCCTTTTCTGTCTGTCTGTCTATCTATTATTCTTTGAGAATAAAAAAAAGAAAGAAATGGATCTTGATGAAATAAGACTCATTGTGGGGATATATATATAATCTATATACAATCAAATCAAATGTGAGTAGTATAAGCATAGATGCACGCATACATACATTTACATTCCGTATCTTTTCTTACTTAATGAAAAAGACAAGTTATTGTATATATTTCGAAGGTCAAGGTAAAAATGACTATGATCACCTGTGAAGGTTCATTTCGTACTAAGTACATAAAGAATATATACAAAAAAAAAAAAAGAAAAAAGAAAAGGAAATTATATTTTATATTTATAGAGGACCTAGATTAAAAAATTCTCCAAGAATGTCGAGGTCTTTTTGATTATTTCTTTTTTTTTCTACTTCGTTAAATATTCGACTTTGATAACGAATCTTAGATTAATATGATAAAAATATGTATACATATATATTCCTGACAAAAATATAAAATGTATTCAAATTTTTCACGTATTTACTTTATAAGTACATCAGTAGAAAAAAACACATTACTAAGAAAATGATAAATATGTTTTACATATTGATGAAATCAAAATTAAAAATCATCCATCTAATTTTATTTCTAATGAAGAAGAATCGATGTAATAAATTTCGATTCAAATGAGATATAAGTGCATCCAATATAGTTGTCTGTTTTTCATCATTACTCATTCCATAGATTATAAGCTTCTATAATAACTTGAATATATACACACATGAAATCATATAAAAAATACAATCTAAAAAAATGGAATATTATCATTTATATTCAATGTTGGCAAAAAGGTCATAGCTTTTAATCTTTGTAGATAGACTCACAAATACTATATATATCGTTCAATTTCATGTATTCATAATAAATACTATAACTAGACGATAAAAATTTCTAATATATTGGCAGTCTATTCATATGTAATTATTATTTCAGACTGAAAATAATTCCATATATTTTATGACCTTTCTAATGTTGTTGTCATATCCAAATATATTTCTTTGATGTTTGAAAATAGACATTGTCAACAACTTTTAGATTTTGAAAAGATGTCATGCTTTTAAAAAATACTTGTCTTTGTCAAGGTTAAAAAAATAAGTAATTAGACAAATTATTTGCTTTTAATATGTAAAGTATTTATTCCAATTCACAAATTTTTTCGTGACTTCTTTATACTTTTACATTAGCATATTGTTTGTTTTTTTTAACTCTTGCTCTTTGAAACCTATTCATTACTAATTACTTCCATTTTTCTAGATAATTTGAATCATTCATCATCATCTTCAGAATAGAAAAACATGTTTCCTAGTATATCCATATGTTGAAAACACAAAGACAAACATCAAACTTTTTATTATATCCATTTGTTCAGATTAGTTTTATTCGAAAATAAACAGAAAAAGTCAAAAACAAAACAAGAAAGTTATATCAAAAGCCGAAGCACAAATAAAAAAGAGAACCAATTTTTATAATAAATAAAAGAAAGAAAAAAAACCAAAAAGCTTGATAGATATTAATTAGTAAATAGATAAAAAAAGAACAACATCAACAAGAATTTTATAGCATATGTAAGACTAATTTATCTCTTCATAGAAAAAAAAAGTACACCGGGATCATTTACAAAGTTTGATCAAATATTTTTTTTGTTTAAATTTTTGAGTAAGGAAAAAAAATAAAACATCCTATATGAGATAACAACAAAAGCTTTAACAAATGCAAATATTTGTAGATATATATATGAATTATAAATTTGTAAAATAAATAAAAAAAAAATTCAATCGATATGACTGTATTTTCTTGTCTATAAGGAATGCTTTGTATCGAGAACATTAAAATCGAGTCTATATATAGAAATAAGATTTATTGAAACATAATTATATTTTAATACATACTATTTCATCGGATGATTGATGATTTAGTTGACGACGTGTTGAAGAATATTCTAATGCATTGGTGCCTAAAATTAGAATATATAAATCTTATCATCAGAATAAATTTTTTTCGACAGAATAAATTTTTTTCGACAGAATAAATCAATCTTATTTAGATTTTAACTTAAAGTGCATATCATGAAAAGAAGAAAAAAAAATTAAGTTCTCAAAGGAAATTATTTCGATTTGTCAACAATAATCATATTTAATCTCTATGAAAAGTAAAAAATGTCAGACGGTAGCAGTCTAATTAGATTGTCTATCAAGTCTGACCTTGTGGTTTCTTCTACTGAATGCTAGTAAGGTGGTGTCATACTAATGCGTACAGATCAACTGTCAGGAATGTCGTTAATGATATTACTTTCTACTCGAATATAAGGAAAGAGTTAACAAGGTTATTTACATTTGTTGTAACTTGTATTTTCTTTTACTTATTCGGTTAAAATGTCAACCTAGAGTTTATCAGACAGACGCTCTATTACGAAGAAAACAGATGCTATTTTGCCAAACATCATTAATTCATTCCAATACATCAGATATGAATTGTTATTTATGAAAAATAAAACACAGACGAAATTTTTCAAATAAAAAAAATATTATTTTTGTAGAGAACTATCCTATTTCATTTATAATTTCTGAACTAAGATAATATATAAGCACTGAATGATTGATTTCTATAATTTATTCTTCTATAGTAAAGAATAGTTCATTGAAAAGCTTATCTTATATATATTTATACTAATAAAGAATAAATTCTTACGATAATTTAAATTAGATGTAGATGATGCTAATTTTCCCACAACACCATTACCAATTGGTAATAGAATTTCATGTTTTTCTGTTTTATTATATGGTATTTTCGATGATTGTTGATAATTTCCAAGCTTTAAATTATCCATACGATTATTAAATGATGTTGTTAGTATTTTAGCTGGTTTTTTTCTAGTTGGTTCATTATATAATGAATCTGATTGATGTGAACTTGCATAAATCGTTGTTGAACTTCCATCTTTACTTTTATCTTTACTTTCACGTGAAGATCGTAATGATGCATAATATGATGTTATACGACTATTTGATGTATCTGTACTTGATACTGAACTTGCATAATTTGCATGTCTTGGAATTTCATAATTCATATTTTGAAATGGATGTGGTAACATACTAAACAGAAAAATATTCTATTTATTTGTTCATAAAAAGAAATTTTATTTTATACTTTGTAACTGGTGTAGTGATAGTAGATGTAGTTGCACTTGATCTTGATTCTGTATGTCCATTTACTTTTGTTGATTTTTCTTCTAAATAAAAAAACAGTTTTATCGAATAAAATTCAATTTTTTGATCATTTACGTGGTGCTTTTTTGAATACAGTAGTAAAAAGAAATTTTTGAAATCGATCAGAATAATAATTTGGATTAGTGACTGATATTTGATTCTAAATTAAATAGAAAATAATAGAAAATTATTTTAATTTTTGTTTATTTAGCTTACTCCATCAGTAACAACAGATTTCAATGTATGCTCAAGCTTTTTTCGTAATTGATATGATTGTAATATATCAATAATACCAACATACAAAGATAATTTTTGCCCATCAATAGTTCGAGCTGGAATACCACCCGTTCTATAATAATACATTATGTTAAATTTTCGAAAAAAAAAGGAAATGTTTATATTTATATTTATTCTCATTATCTTATGCTAATAATATATAAACGTGTGGGTGTAGTTAAAATTCTATTAAATCCTTTAGGTTTGTAGATATTTTATCAGAAAATTATCTATTTTTGAAAATCAAATATTTTTTCTACTTATGCGGATGACTATCGAAACGCATATGCAGGGGTGGCGCGACCGCGGGTGTGTGACACCTTCCCCAATCTTCGGAAACTTCTATTTTTTGTTCAGCAAGATCGGCAAATCTTCTGAGGTTTTTTATCAAAGATAGTGCTGTACCCCACTTAAAGTTCAAAAAATTTCGCTACACCCCCTCCTCCTCAATGATAGCTGACTCGCGCCACCCCTGCACATATATTAGGTATTTGTTTCTCAGTACATATCAGCTATTTGTTTCGATATCGAATCATTGTATGAAAACAACATTGAATGATTTATTTGACAGTCTTATCATTTACGAGAGATTTATGTGTTTACTTTGAATTCTTATAACTATAAGATATAATCGAAATAATAAGCCGATTAAATATACAGGTGATATTTAATCAATATTACATCATAATACAAAGTATATACGAAATTTTTCTGACTCGTGGGATTTATTATGATTAGAAAAAACGTTATAAAAATATGCTGCGTCAGTTAGTGGGCTATTGCAAAAGGTGAGATATACGTCGTTTTTATGCTAATTATGAAAAAAATATGAATAATCAAAGAGAGAATAGGTTTATTTTAGGCTTCAAAACAACAAACAATGACTCATACGAATGTGCTTACTTAATTTAATAATAATTCGAACTCTGCCCTAATAGTTTATTCAAGGGATGAAAGTACTGCATAATATTCATGATTAAATAGTTTTTCGACATACTCTTATAAAAAAACATACTTAGCAAGATAACCATCGGGTTTATTATTTTCATCAAATTCCGCATGAATATTATCCATTGGTGTTGAATACATCATACGTTTTGGCTGTGGCGATAAAGGATCTTAACAAATAAAATTCTTTTATAAAATTTTAAATTTGATTCAATTTATTTACCATTTCCAAAATTAAATGGAACTGATTCATCCTTAGAAAAAAAAAAAATTTCATGATTTATATAAAAATAATTTTTTTTTCAATATTCTTACTCCTGGTGAATCTAAAGATCGCTCAATTCGATGAACACCAATTAAAAATGAATAATCCATTATATGAAAACTTTCTAATACCTAAATAAGTTTATAAAACAATTCGAAAAATGTTTCTATATTATTAAACATACTCGACAATCACGTTGAACTGTTTTCGCAAGAGCATTATATGTCTCAGAATCCAGTATTAAACCATATGGATGGCGTTCCATAAAATCTAAATCTTTCCATGTGGGAGATTCTTTCTGTTGTTCTTGACTATTAGCTCGTCGTTTATATGTTGAACCTTTAAGATCGTATTTTTCATGCATTTGTACATGTGATGGAATTAAATTATTCATAACAGTTATACGAATATTTTTATTATCACCCTAAAACAAAACAAATTAGTTCCATATCAACAAAATACTTTAAATTTGCTAAGAGAAAAAGAGCAAGCAAAGTATAAACACAAAACAATACCTAAGCTTTAACTTTAAAGAAACAAAGAAAAAGTTGTTTTATTTTATGATTTAGATTTTTTTTCTCGAATTGATTATCCCAACAATCGACAAACAATAAAATGTTAGAAGAAGAATAGAGCAGCTAAAGATATTTTTCTTAAAAATTCTTTTTTTTTATCAAACAAATACAGAAAGATGTGAATCAATGAGCTGGAAAATATATATCCTTGTGCGTATGTAAATTCACTTACAAGCCCAGTCTTATTTCTTGGCAAAAATTCTGTGACCTATATAGATATAAATATTACTCTCAAATCTTCTTGTTTCTCTCTTAACAGTTGTACTGTTTTCTTTTTTAACTTATTTACAAATAAATAAAATCATTCTTATACCTGATAACAATAAAGACCAAAAAATTTTGGTAAAAGTGTACGTTGATTTTGTATAATATTCTAAAAACAAAAAAAGATAATTCATTGAAATTTATTATTAAATCTTATTATAACCATGTAATAACCAGGAAGAAGAGTTTTTAAAAATTCTGCTTCTTTTTTCTGTACAGTCTTTATTATAAATTCATCATCTGCTGTTAAATAAAATAAACTACCACTTGCACCAGGATTTGTTAGTTCACGAAATGGTTTACATAATGACGACTAAAATAATAGAATTATTATTGTTTTATATTCATATGAAAATAATACTAAATAATCTGCTGGTTTTATATTGAATTTTTCTCGGAAATGTCGAAATGCAACAGGAGCATAAGAACGAATAGTAAAATCATTAAAACGATGTGGTGGTGTAGCTTTTGGATTTGATCTTCCACCTCTACGATATGAAGAGAAAAACAAAGAAATAAGAAAATTTGTTTTTTTTTCTAATTACTTTGGAAAATGTATTATTTCCACCGCAAGAAAATCTTGAAAAAGTACATCATGTGCTTGTCTTGCTTCTAAACCTCCCACACTATATTGTATTCCTAATTGAAGTGCTTCAACAAGTTGATTAGTTGGTAAACGTTTAAATGTTGCATTGCCTTGACTATCAACACGTAAATGTCCCAACTTATGTTTTTTACCTTAAAGAAATATTTCATAATTTATCATACAAATCATCTTTTTTTTGTATCATACCTAAATCAATACCCACTTCATCTGTGACATCTTCATTCATCATAGGGGATTTGTACTAATGATATTCAGAATATCGGAAGACAATATGTTTTAGATATCTTATAGAAATGGAAATGAAAATAAAGGTAGAAAAACGTAAATAATAATAAACAACATAATAATAAAAAAAAAGGCATGACGCAAAGAAAAGGGAAGAAGAATACGTTGGAAATACGATTAGCCAATCGAGAACAGCTTAACAAGAAAAACGATTATGAACACTAGAGCCCTCTTTAATAAATAAAAATTTAATATAGAAAACTGTAGGTATAGAAGAAATATATTTTAGTAATAAGTGCATGATTATTGATATTTTACTGTGAACCGTGACATTTGTTTTTTTAATAAATAATTAAATATTTGCGCATAGTAATTGTATATTCAGTTGAAGTGAAACATAGTTTATCTCGTCGAAGAAAAAAGATCTCGGCGAAGGACATAACAAGTTTCATAGACCTTGAAACGAAAACTACCTATTTATATGCTATGTATTGTACTGATAGAGTCTAGTCGTGTTTCTTTTGAAAAGAAGGTTTAATGAGTATATTTAAAATTAATCGAAAAGTTCTTTTGATCATATCTTAATTTCGAATAGAAAGCTTGAAAAAACATTTCTTATAAGAGAATCGTACAGATAAATTTTTACCTTTCTATGCTATTTCCTTCTTATTTAATTGATACAATAATAATAAAAATTCGATTAGTATTCTTTTTATATGATATTTCAGTGCTAAATGCGACCGATAAGATGATAACATTTTACATTCACTATTCAATTTCTTAACATGTATCACAAGAAGAGAAATATCTGTTTCTTTATACTATATATAAAATAAACGTTACTTGTAACATATTTGATTTTTTTAATACAACATGTTAAGTAATTGGAAATTGAATGTAAAACGTCATTATTTGACTTGTCTCTAAAGTTTTATATAAAAATAGTTCTAATCGAATTTTTATTATTATAGTATCAGTTGAATAATGAGGAAATTAAATACGAAGATAAACCTTCATTTTTACGATCACCTCATAGAAAAGAAAAATTTCGAATTGGTCTCAATTTGAAGACTCAACTTATTTTGTCATAAGGATGTTTGTAGTACCTGTAGTAACTAAAAATAATGACTCTCTATTTCCTATTCTGGATGTTTAACATAAATATATAACTTTAACCTTTCGTACTGATATGACCTACCTATGGGGGCCGCGCTATATTTCAAAAAAGAACACGTTATTTTGCCTTTTTATTGGGAAGAAAGTTATATATAATGTGTTATCTTCTCTGCCTTCGATAATTTTTGAGTCCTTTAGTTCATAGTATGATATTTCTCATTAAAACAATCAAGGTAAAATAAATTCGTCACAATCGGAATAGAAGGTTTCTATTTTCTTGTCTACTGTCGTCCTCCCTGCTCTTCTCATAGCACCCAGTATAGTATCTTGAGGATGTGGGTGTATAAAGTAATTTAATACCGGCGACTACACTCCATCGACAACCTCAAGTAGAAAAGAACAATAAAGAGAGTCGAACACGGTAGCAACAAAGAAATATGAATATTGTGGCAAATGTTTTTGTCTTGATTTTTTTAATGAAGAGCATCATGCCATGAAATAAAGCACTCAAAAATTACCGGAGATATGGAAAACTGACATATTATATGTAACTTTCTTTATTATAGAAAGGAAAAAGAAAGCGTTCTTTTACACAATTTCCTGTTAAAATATGTTGTGACGCACTGCTCGGGGTACATCGACACGAAAGGGTGAAGATCACTGTTATATTTCTCATTCTAAATTGGAAAAAATTACCAATGAATCATTTTCATATTTATATCATTTCAATAAAAATTAAAACATATTTCTCTTTCAAAATCTTTTGTCATAAGACATACTACTCATGATGTGTTCTATTAAATATCAAAAATCATAAACAAACGATCATCTTACGTTTTTCAACTAGTACTATCAGTTGTTTATTGATACAAAATAATTGCTATAGATCTCAAATTTCCTTTTGTTTTTATATCGATCTTATTTTGAAATCTTTTTTTTTAACAATCATTTGTCTATATAGTTAAAAAACAAAAAACATGTCTTACTCATGGGCTATCTATTTTTTAATTATAACTTCAACATTTCATTCAATTCATAGTTCATATCATTCTGTTGGTTGTTTTACACAAGTATTCTATGATAGTTTTTTTACAAGTTCATTGATGGAACCAAAATTATGTTTTCGTTTATGTGATACACCGATAATTTATCTACAAAAAACAGTATGTCGATGTTCAGGTGGTGGTCTTATGCATAATAAACAAAATGACACACAATGTCGAATAAAATGTGCAAAATCAGCTCAGTTTTGTGGTGGTTCAACAACATATTCAGCTTATGCTGAACATGGATTTTACACTCGACATGGACATTTACTTGATTATCAAATTCAGTATTCATCATGTGAAAAATGGTCAGAAAACTATACGCATAATTCATTTTCAGTTCAATTAGATAATACTATTCATAAATCATCATTGAATAAATTGGAACGATGTGCAGCTGCATGTCTTGATCAAGATACTACAACGAAAGCATTAGGTAAAGTAGATATATCAATCGAAAGTTACAAAAAGCTTATTAAATCGTTTGAGATTTAATATAATTCTTTTCTATATATATAGTATATGGAACAAACGAATTTATAAAGAAAAAAAATCATATGTAACCTTAAGTTATTTGATATAGATCTATTTCTTTCGATGTTTTGATAATTAGACATATAGTGCGTACGGCTATTCAATTTTCCTTCTGAAGGTTGTCTATTTTAGTACAAATTATTCTTTGAAAAATAAAACAATGGTTTATACTTCTATTGATTAGAAAGAAATATTCGCGATTAGCATAGTTTTATATAGTTATATTAATAGTATAAATTTCTTTCTAGCATTCAATAATGATAACAATCAATGTTCCTGTATAAAAACACAGAAATGGAAGATGTTCCATCAAACATTTGAGTACCTGTCGTCTGTACCCAATACTTCTTGTAATCGTTATTGTAATAATACATTTGCACATTCTGATGCTCAACATCAATTTCAATGTGGTTCATTAACAGATCCATCTATATGGGCTATATATGATTTACGTAGTGCATGTCCATCTGATTTTACTTATGTAACTGAAATTAAAAAATGTATGTATATCTATAAAACTTCTTGGTTTACTTGTCCACCACCATCTAAAAGTTATGTTTATGATGGAAGTATAAAATGGAATATATTCTTAAAAGTTATTGAAAAATTAAAATTAAAAAATTTATCTGTTGTGATTGAATTTCATGAAGATTTTGTAATTAATCCATCATTAAAATGTCAAAATACATCGTCATCATCATCAAGTATATCATCGGCTTACTCGAGACATTCATATTTGAATAGTTATAGATGGAATGTGAATAACCGTTATATATTAGAAAATGGTTGTTTACGTGAATATATTTATTCGTCATTTGCAAATCGTTTATGTATATCAGAATCTATTAATAAATATTCGTCATCATATGATGATGGAAATAGTTCAATTTATATTTCTGATATGGAACCACAAACTAAATATTGTCCATCGAGTTGGTTTGATTTAAATGGACGTTGTTATAGAATATCTGAAGAACGTAAAACGATTCAAGATGCAAGAATTAGTTGTATTAATATATCAGAAAATATCGTAAATACAAATGATCAATCACATTTAGCATCATATGATGAAAATGATTTCGATGAAGATCAATTAAATAATTTTCCAAAAGGTGATATTGTTCAATATACATCACAATGGCAAACTCGACTTGGCTTCTTCCTACTTGATACATTGTCCGAAAGTGGTAAATTTATAAATACTAAATAGAGTTACTAAAACAAAACAGGATATTAATATTCATTATCGATAATCTAAATTTGACGGCTTACTATCTTGTCCCCAATACGACATTCGCCATTGACGAAAGTGCGGGGATTTATTAACTAAAGTTCAGGCGCCATTTGGCGCAAGATTAGTATAAAATACATATGACAAATTAACCTAATATTGTCAGAATAAGTATATTATAACCGCCCCCCCTCCCTCTTCCACAATAAAAAGGCATGCCCTTCTGTTGCGTTCTAACGAATCGGTCTTTTTTTGGTGGCGTTCTATTGAGGGTGACTTCCTATTATGAAGGGGAGTTTAGCGTATCAAACGTTCTTTGACGGCGTTTTATTTGGGGGGAGGGGGGGGGGGTTAGTCTGAACCCCTCAATATAGTTACCAGAAGCTATTTTTATACATATGTAATCACATAATGATAGTTAAAAATCGTATAACTTTTTATAGAAAAAAAACATAATAATTTATTTTTAGATCCATTGAATAATAAAGCAATAACTCATGTACTTGGTTTCTATTACGAAGATTTAACACCAATCGAGTTTAATGCGCATAATTCTTTTATAAATAAAAATGAATTTCAAATGATGAATCCAATTGAAAATAATAATTTAAGTATAACAGATGATTCATGTATTATTTCTACACGTACAATAGCTGAAGAAGAAGAAAAACCTCTGTTAAAAAATCTTCCAATGAATAATTGTTCACAAGCAAGACATGTTTTATGTGAAACAAAAACATTAATTGTTCGAGATTTTCAACAAGGTTGCTTTCGTAAACCAATAATACTTGATTTACCAGCATTAATATCAAATCGTTTAACATATGAATTATGTGTATCTGTATGTAAAGAATTACAAACAACTATAGCTATTATACATATTAATAAATGTTATTGTTTAAATGGTTACATTTCAAAATCATTTAGTTTAGCAACTGATCTCAGAAAATATCAACAAACGAGTTGTGGAAATCCCTGTTCGGGTATGTTTGTTAAAACAATTTTTAGAGAATTTTTATCAAGAATACATCCTATTTTAGGAAATAAGAATGAACAATGTGGCAATAAAGATACAATTATTGTCTTTCATATAATTGATTCTAGACGAATATATTCAGATGCTCGTACACCAGCTGAACCATATCCTGATTTTATCTATGATAGTTGCATATATCTAAACTCATTTGATAATACATCAACAACTTATAAGTTTAAACTGACTAATAGAACAGATTTACATCCACGTCATTGTTTAGAATTATGTACAAAATATAAACAAAAATATGCTCTTATTAATTCAAATACATGTTTTTGTACAAATATTCAATTAAAAGATGAAAAAAGTAAATCGGAGATACTTGCAAATAAACATTGTTCATTGCAATGTTCTGCTAATTATTTTTATACATGTGGACATAAATTGAACTCAACTTTATATTCAGTGTATATAATGCAACCGAAATGTCGTCATGGTAAATGATGAAAAATTTAAATTTAAAAAAAATATTCTTTTTTTTTTCAAGGTTTCGAAGTTGCGGAAAATGATCAACAATGTGTATATAGTCATTTATCAACAAGAAAAAAATCTTTTTCAGCTGCTCAATCATATTGTAATTCAATTGGTGGTAAAATTGCAAAAATTAATGATGCTTTAGAAATTCAAGATATTTTACCTGAATCAATTTTAAATACACGTCTTTTAAAATTATTTCTTATGATTACACGTTTGAAATCATTGAATAATACACGATATTTTTGGGTTGATCGTACATTAGATATATCAGATAATAATACAATATCAAATCGTTTACTTGATAAATGTTCTCAAACACCAGATAATATTGATGGAAATTGTATTGTTGTTCGACATGAAAAGAAAACAACTGAGAATGAAACGAATTATGAATTTTGTGTAAGTGAATCCGATCAATGTTCATCAATATCAGCTATGCCTGTTTGTGTTGATCAACATATAGAATTAAATACTACATCAACTATCGATGATAATTCATTTAATATATCGAGTGATTATTCATGTGGTGATAATTCAGACTATCATCTTGTAGATGATTATTGTTATAAAATATCAATTCATGAAGCTAGTTGGAATGATTCGAAATTAGAATGTCAACGTGATAATGCTATGTTATTTGTACCGGAAAAATCTATAACATTACAAGTAATCAAAACATTATTTTTATTTTTACATCGAAATAGTTATTCATCATCTGGTTTTGCACATGTTGGTGTTATTTATGATAATCAAAATCGTACTGTCATAGAATATAATACAACAAATAAAAATAGTTTATCATTTGTACCTGATTCTAATCTTGTTTATGATCTATGTGAAAAAACATTTCATGAACGTTATTCAATATTAATGTCATCAAATTTATCAGCATATGAACGAAATGAAATTAAAAACAAACAAATTGGTTGTGCATATATTGATCTATTATCGAATGTTGTACCAATTATTCGTTGTGATGAAATACCTTGTAATCGAACAGCAACTGTCATATGTCAAAAATTACCAACATTAAAAACTGACGTTATATTTGTTAAACGGTTAGTTAATGTATTTATCTTAAACAAAAATATTTGAATAAGTTTGGGTGTGGGTGGGTGGGTGAATGTGGGTGTAGGTGTGGGCAGGTGGATGTGTGGGTGGGTGGATGTGGGTGCAGGTGTGGGTGGGTGGGTGTAGGTATGGGTATGGGTGGGTGGGTGTGGGCGTACTCTGTTTATGTCGAGTCACACACTCACACCCACCCACTTACATCTACACCCACCGGAACAACTCCTTGTTGCACTATAAAGAATAAAGAATAAAGGATTTATTAATCATCTAAAGATCTAATAATAATTTATTTTCTTTTTATTTTCTAGTGAAAAAATCGAAACGCAAATGAAGAATGATTTAATTTATCTATCAACTGGTCAATCACCGGTTTCTGAGTATTCAAGCTCTGTTGGCAGAGATTTTGCTCCAATCTTTATTGTTTTAGCACTTTTATCTATTCTTACATTTGTTGGATGTATGACTAAATTTCGTAATCATCGTGTATTTAATAATATTAGAAGAAGACATAATACAGATTCTGTCTATACTCAATTGGCATCACCCAATGAATTTGGTTTAAATTAGAAAACATAATTTTTTTTTGTATATATAAATCATGAATGTACGTTCAAAACGAATGTTTTTCAGTTCATTTTCTTTTTCTCATAAATATACAATAGATATAAAAAAAGCACATTGTATTCGATTCTTTTACATTTGTCATGTCAACATATACAATATCAATAAAATCTAGCGTCAGACAATTTACGAAAAAAAAGCAGAGAAAAAAAATACTCGATAGATGTGGAGAGAAAAAACTCAAGAACGAATATTCTGTTTTTTTTCGTTATCGATATAATGTACAGTATTTTATCGTATCCATTACAGATCACTAAATTACCTTGAATTCATTGTATCTAAAAAGTAACAACGAATGGGAAAATATATTCAATACAATTATTATGTTAATAATTTTATAAGATTTCTCATTACGATCATATAAAACAAAGTAATTAGTATAATAAACAAGTAAGATTATAATATTTTTATTTATACAAAAAAAAATTGAGTTCATTTATGTAAATTTATATTCAAGGTTTTTATTATTCATCTTAAAATCTGGCTAAATTTCAGCAAAACGAATGGATAATTATCGAAGAAGAAGGAGAAGGAGAAGAAGGTATGAATTCTAAATATGTAGAATATTTTATCGGTGTCATTTAAATGAACAAGTTTCCTTTTTCACTTGAAAACTCAATCGATTGGAATTATTTCTTATTCGATAATATAAATTGTACGTTCAAAAAAAATATAGTATTTTTCTCTACTCGGATATGAAGGTGTCAATATCTAGATTAATCATCTAAGAATATACGCTTTGAGATATGTATATATAAGACACCCTAGAAGGATCAATCGATCGTGTAGAAGTACTATACAGACACATAAATATAATACATAAGGATTAGATTGAATAAAGATAGACAAGAAGAAAGAAAACAGATTGATTTATGATGCTTCTTTATCATATTGTTCCACATAAATGGAAATTTTACTGAGTTTTTTTTGTCATGATTAATATTGGTAGACTATAATAAAAAAAGACATTTCTTTTCACTTTATAGTATTCTGCAATTTATTAATAAATAGCCAAAAATATTCTTAAATGTGATATATTGTCCTTGTTATGAGGCTCTTTTCAAGGTTCATACGTACATATATGCACATTTGTGAATATTCAGGATATTACCTTCATTCGGTCATGCCAGACGTTATGAAGGTTTAATTACATTTACACGTAATTGTTCAAACTTCAATATTGCCTATCAATGTATTTCTTTTTTCTCCTTCAATACAAACAGGCAAAACTAATTAACTATAAAAGCGAACTAACATTTTGTACATGACTACTACATAAGAGTAGTAGTAGTTGTCGTCGTTCATTGTTTCCATCGAGCAACGACAGGTGTTATTCTAATGAATTTTATGTGTCACTAATTTTCATAGTTGTGTTCAATTGTAAAAAAAAAAGTAATTACAATCATACGGAAGATTAATAAAATATTTGATTCTATATCGTCTCTGTGTACTCGTTATCTTAATGAACTTAAAGAATGATAACAAAAATAGAATAGTTTATTGTTCATAATGATATAGAAAACCATAGGAAGCACCATTATTCATTATCTGTATTGTCGTAACATTATCATTGAAAGATGATTTAGAGCATAGAGAATTGACATGTACGTGTAGATAATACAAAAAAAAGACAAGAAAACGAGTTTCATCTGCTTTCTAGCTTGCATGTGTATATGTACAATGGTTTATTGACATATTGATCATCGCATATGTGTAAGCAGTTCAATGCATTCATACATCATATCTTCTTCCTTTTTTTTCTTTCTCTTTTTCTTTTATCTGTCAGATTGAATAACGCTTCGTTGCGTCTACCATCGTTTTTTTTATTCTTCATTGTTCTTCTATACAGTTCGGTATAATCGATTAAGGAAGGTGACAAGCTCATCGTATATTGTTCTTGAGTAAACAATACGATAAGTTTTGATTTCGATTTTGAATTGATACTGAATAAAAATGAATATTACAGGTAAATACCTTAGTATATATCAATCCTTTGTATGTACAGTATTGAATATAAAATAAGTAATAGTTCTTCAATGAAAAAAATCTTATAGTTCATGACTTTTCAAGTGGGTTGTATAATAACATATACACACATACACACACACACCGTGATGATAGAAAGTGTTTAGATTTGTTTACTATATTCACGTATTCTTTCTTTTTCGATTGTTTAAAGAGTAGCACGCATGCATGTTATACATAATTTCTGTTTTATAACTAATAGTTACATATTTGTTAAATGCGTAGTTAAATACTAATAAATCATTTTTGCAAGTCACACTCAGTTTTTTTTTTGTCCTTCGTTTTTTTTCCGCAGAGAAGTCATAGTACGGTAGGAGCAACAAAAAAAGAAAGTAGTAGAATCAATAATGGCTGATGACCTCGCATGAAATGAGAATGCATGTATGTATGTATGTATGTGTTTAAGAAGAGAAAAAACGATGTGAATATTTCTATTTTTTAACAATGCAGACAAACAACATTAACAAAGAAAAGAGAAGACATATAGAAATGAAATAAAACAAAAAGAAGGACTTGAGTTTTTCTTTTGTCGTTTATCATTTTGTACATGGTAACACTGATTGTTAACAATGAATCGCATCGATGAAGAGGAAGATAATACAGATATTGCCGCGGTAATGATAACAGGTGAGAAGAAGAGAGAATATAAGAAAAAAAGAAAGAAAAAGAAAAAGGAAGGTTTTACGCTTCTATATAATATGTACTGTTTAAATATGTACGAAAACTGATTTGCGTCGTCCATTTTGCATTACAAATCTTGCACACATTCATCTTTTCTTCGTAACAGGAGAGCTCTTGATATGTGTATATATATATATGTTTATATATATGTATGATTGAACAGATGACACAACAACCTTTACTTTAGTCGATCAATTTCCTTCTGTGCAACCAGCTCCAGTGTATAGCAGTAGTGACAGCATTTATTCAAGCAAACAAACTAGTAACACATCTTCTCGTTCAAAATATCAAACAGCATCTCGACCGACCTCTTTATCACCGACCCGACATTTACTTTCTTCGAATGATAATGTTATTAAAGATGTAAAAAAACGTCGTCGACATGCAAGTGATTCAAATACAAATCATATAAAAAGTATTCCCACATCACTCGTTATTTCATTTCTTCGACATTTACGTAACGAATTACGAGCTACAAGTGATAAAAAAAATGATTATCAACAACATATTAAACAGGTATAATATTATTTCTTATATGAATATTATATAGTAACACTATTTTTTAATTCATTCGAGTCAAAAAAAAAGAAAAGTTTTTTTTTCTTTTATTTAAATTAATCGTTGTTACATAATGACGTATTTTAATAGACATGCATTTTTATGACTATTTTACATTTGATTAGATTTTATTTTATTTTTCTTGATATATAGAAATCATCTGCAAGAACTAATCGTACTCAAATATTAACAATAGATTTAAAAATGTCAAATGAAAATTTATCAACAACAAACGATAATAATGAAATTTTAACATTAATTGATTTACTTGTTCTTCGTGTTGAATGTTTAGCCAATGAAAATAAATTAATTTCAAAAAAGAAACATAAAAAAGATAATTGTCCAAGTGTTGCTGAAGTTGATCAAAATTTAATTGAATACCTATATTATCTTTTTACAAGATTTATTCATGATGAAACAAATTCATCGAATATATTACGAATACCAATAATTGATAAAAATAATTTTGTTAGTGTTTGTCAAACTTTAGTACGTAATGGTTGTTTTGATATACCACAACCAAGTGTAGAACTTTCACCAGATCAATCAAGTTCAGATACAACAAGTAGTAGTGATAAAACATTAACTCAACAAACATTTGTACGTGAATATAATCCCGATACAGACACAATGTTGGCAGAGAAATCATCGATAGACGGTGAAAATCTTTCAACAACATCAGCTGAACAAGAAACATGGCTTATTGTAGATTTAGAAGGAACACAATCGGAAGATTCAATGGCAACTTCTGAAACAATGGTAAGTCATTTTTATAGATGTAGGACAGCTGGTGTACAGAGAATATTCATTAATGAACTGGATATTATTGATTCAGATAATTTATTAGCTTACGAGTAGATATATTATGCAATTGTATCGATATAGACTTACATTTTTTGTGAATCGTTCGATATATTTGTTGAATTAGCATTGTATTTCATATCGATTATAGAAAATTTATCTGAAAACAAAATCAAATCTATTTAGTATGATAATTTTCTTTTATAGATAGTCTGTCTCATATTATTATGATAATATGGAAATTATTTTAAAGAAGTTTTTCCATATGAATCTATCGATATAATAGATATGATCATGACATTTATATTTTTTTTAGAGTACTAGGAATACTCTCTTCGAATATCATAAGATTATCTGATACAGAATAGTTATTATAAGATAGATAGATATATATATCGTTTTCTTCCGATATTATTGCTACCATATTAAAAAAAATGATAAGGACTGACAAGGACAAGTAAGACCACCTATTGTGATCTATTAATTGATTATTATATAAAATAACAATTTGTTTAATCAGTATTCATATCATTTATTAGAAGAAAAACAATATTTATAATTATAATATTAGCAAAGAATTTTGTTTAAATATTAGAATTAGAATTTATTCTTTACAAACAAATTCTTTTATTAATTACATATAATAATTTCAAGTTTATTTACATGACAAACTCAAACCTTAATAATTTATATGATGAAAACTTATGAAGAAGAAATCATTTTTTAAATTTCAAATATTATATAAATCAAATTGTAATTAAATTCGTTGATATTTATCAAAACACTTTCTTTTTCTTTTTTTTTAATACTTACCATGAAATATTCCATTATCATGTCCTTTTTCTTCTTCGAATAATAACCTCGAATATAACTATTTGTGAATCCTTGAGTATAAAATAGATGCATATAATATTGACCTTTATATGTTTGAGAGTAGTTTGTCATTCATCATCATCATTATTCGATGACAGTTAAAGTGTAAGAATAACGATAAAATATGTATGAGTTATATACGCTTATTTGAATACGAAACAATCAACAATAATATATCTCTGATGAACACATTATATTAGTTTTCTACCTTACTCTATTCAAGTGTCACTTGCCATTATCGTCATCTGATGAACAATTACTAATAACGAATGATAACTATAGATCATTTGAATCTGAATCATCACCTAGTATATATCTATCACCAAATTCTTCATCAATTGATATACAAAACATGGTACAAGAACTTGATGATATAAATAATCCTTCGAGTACATCATTCAATCAAGGTAAACAATATATATATATATACTTTTGTTTTCTATTGAATAACATACTTGTAAATAGATGGTTCTTTATTGAATGTCGTCTCCGAATCGAAAACAACAATATCGACCGATTCATTAAATGATAATACTCAATCGAACAATAACATTTGTACAAGATTAACTAATGATGATAGTGCTATCGAGAATAGCGAACCGATAACAATGAATAATACTGATAAAATGTCTCGACGTGAAAAAAAAATGCATGAACGTTGGACAGTATCGACAAAAACTGATAAGAATGACAATGAACAATCATCAACAAAAGCCTTATTAACTGTCGAATTTCCACCAATTGCTGTACTTCGACGTAAAGTTTCACCATCATCATCATCAACTACAATAGATAAAAAGGATAAGAATGAAATTGAAACTGAAATTAATACAGATGATAAATTAAATTCAACTCAATCGACAAATACCGAGGTAAATAAATTTATAAATCTTTCTTTTTTTTTCTTTATTTTATAAAAATTTCAATATGAATATAAAAATTCAATAAGAAATCGATCAAGGATGATGTAAAGAAAATCTAAATTATATCTATCAAAAAGAGACAGCAGGGGTAATTCACCATAGGTGTCATATTATGATTGTTACCAACTTTAATAATTATATTTTGTAAAAAAATAGAATATGTTAAATAGAATTGCTTGAAGACTTTGTCCTATATGTAAGAAAAGAAGAAAAATTGTTCAAGTACAATTAAATCTTTAGTGAATAGATTGCCGTAGGGTTAGAGTAAATTAGATATGAACACTTTTGAGAGTAAGATGCTTTGGGCAATTAGAATAAGTTGTTGAATTTATCAATGTGCTCAAATAACTATATATGCTTTCATTGACCGAATACTTTTACTTATGAAACCTTGAAAAAAAGATCAAAAAAGAAAAAGAGAAAAAATCTTTACCGTTTCTTAATGAACATATTAAACTGTTGTCAATCAAAACTATTCAACTTTAGTATAAAGACGATGTATTCATTGAGTAGTTTTACTTCTACTTTTTTTTTTATCATAATTATTCTGTTGTCTCCTCCTTCACATCATCATCATAACAATATTCATCGAACTAATGAAAGCATAACTAATTATACACTGGATCGATCAATGTCTACCTCAATAACCGTAACGATATTATCGTGTTTCATCAGTTGTCCTTGAATGTCAGTCAATTTTGAAATTTTAATTATTCATTTCAACTATAATAATTCTGCTGTTTGATTGACCGATTCTTTAACTAGATTGACCGCTTTGAATTTCTATGTCTGACAATACTATATACAGCTTTAATTGAACAAAGTGTCGACATTTTCTTTTTTTCTCCTTCTTTAATATGATCATATACAAGATATTTTAAAGTTCAAGTGTATATATTCAACTTTATTTCTTTTTTCTTTTTATTTGTAGGAGATTAACACATCGCCAACAATAATCATGGTGAACAAAACCAATCCTGATCAAATAGTTGAATTATCATTGGAAGGTACAGAGAGAAAAAATTCATTATTCTCATTTTGTTTGTAAACGACAAGAATAATATAAAATAAAAAAAAAAGAAGCGAGAATTTCTATCAATACTAATCATAATTTCATCAATAGAAAAAATGCATACACATGTGTGTACACGAGAATAAAATACAAGGTCGATAAAATCCTGTTTATTGTATCGATCCCACCTATGGATGATTTCTTTTTTTTATTTCTCAAATGATTGATTGCTATCGTTTTCATGTATTACACATATGGTCAACGATTGAATCATCAATATAATTTGTATAGAAACGAAAAAAAGTTTCCTCTGTGTGTGTGTTTTTTTCGTTATGGTTTTTATCTAATTTTTTTGCTTTTTCATTTAGATACACCAGCAATGATAATTACTGATGTTAGTAAAAACAATGATGATGGACAACTACCAGTAACTGTACCCGAAGTGATATGTTTATCGGAAGAAGAAATAATGATGAGAGTGAAACAAGGTCCATTATTATCAACAACTATGGAATGTCCTACAGACACAATAACAAATCTGAATCATGAATCAGTTGATAATCAACTAACTAATGAAGAGAACAGTTCGGCTGTAATAACTAATCCATCTGACTCAAACTTGATGTCTTCTTCTTTGCCGTTAATATCAATAGCTCCTCCTCCTTCTTTGACGTTAACTACAGATGAGAACAAATCTATCGAACCTTTATCAAAAGAAAAAGGCGAAGAAAAAATAGAAGAAGAACAACGTTGTAACGACGACTATAACGCCGACGAAGAGAAAAAGAACATCAGTAGCTTCATACACGACTACCACGCGTCGGGAATAATATTAATAAACGACGACCCAGCACAAACAGCCTTGTTACACGAAGAGAAAAAAGAAAAAGAAGAAGAAGAAGAAGGAGAAAGAGAACGACCATCATCGCCATTACCAACGTTAGAGCAATTCAACCAGCAGCGGACAGAAGATGAGTCGCCAGTGCAGACGCCATCAAACGCTTTAAATACAATGGCAACGGCTAATATTGATGAAAATGAAGAATTATATAAAAAAGTTGAAATCGAAGAAATACCAGATGATGAAGAAGAAGTTATATCAGCTCAAAATGATGAATCAATAGAACCAACGGATTATATTCACACTGATGATGAACCAAAACAATCATCATCATCATCATCACAATCAAATAATACAACTATTAATGATGATTCTTTAAAATTTGGTAATGTTCTATCTTGTTATGAAAAAGCATTATCTAAAGTAGCTGATACAACATATGATGAATCATTGGAACCCTCGATTGCTGTATTAGCTAAAGAATCTTTAATAACACCTCAAGAGCCCGCCAATGATCCTATTGCACTACGTGCTTTACAACGTTTTGAAGAACGTATGAATGCTGCTGCTGCTGCTGTTAAAACTACTAGAGAAGATACAAATTCATTAGCAAATAAAGGCAAATCACCATGGTCAGCATCCCTTTCAACATCAAGAAAATCACTTGAAAATCTATTGAAAGATGAAGAACAACAATTTCGTTCAACTGCAGTTTCATTTAATGATGAATTAAAATCAGTATCATCATCTTCTCAAGCAGATAGTTATATTCGACCACGTAAAACATTTGATGATAATAGTCTTAATTATGGAACAGCACTTAATTTATTTACGACAACAAATTCAACTACTGATCATACGACTAATAATGAAGATGATCAAAAATTAGAGGAGGAGGAAGAACAACAGCAGCAACCATCAACAATAGTAGAAAATGATGATGACAAACGAGGTGAGTAAATTATAAGCAGCTGCATGCACATTTTTTCTAGTCTACTGGACGAGTATCTATTACACTATGGAATTGACAGGAGGTGATAACAGACAGACTTGTACACCTAATTGTTCCCAATAGCTTATGTCTTGTTTCTCGCCTTTCTCTAGAATGTTGATTAGGGATTTACCCGGCAGTTTGGTGATTACATCAGCACAAATTATTTACATATCAAAAGAGAAAATGGGCACACAATAACATATACGATATTAACGAGTACATAGAACATGATTTCATGGTCTATAATAAATTTTTTATAAATCATTTTTCGATACCTATACATATATGTAAAGGTTTGTTAATGTCTTCGTTGTTCTCTAAAATAAGATCTCCCATCTATTGATAGACTAGCATTCATAAACTTATCTAAAAGGTCTTACAATTCAACAAAAAATAAAGAACAAGCACAAGTGCACATAGAACTTAATGCAGCAGAAAAAGTTCATATTTGCTTAGTGCGGTGTTCGTCTTTTATCACTGTAGTGTAGTACTAGCAATCGAATATTTTCTTTTATCAATAGAAAAAAAAAAGAAACAAGTAATGTGAAACCTCTGGCTACTCTATATTAATATTAAAGATGAAACTAATCAATAGAACAAGAACGAATGAATGATTTCTTCTTCTTCGTCTCTCTTTCGTATGATTATCGTTTGGTTAAGTTATGAAAAAGTATATCGCTTCAAGGTTGTTTATTTTAGTCACGTACGATTAGCATATCTATACAATGTGTAACATATTTTTTTTTTGATTCTTTATTTTTTATTATTCTAGTAGTTGTTGATAATAAATCAATGATGAGTGCTGACATTAAAGATCAACATGATGAAGAAAAGCAAGATATAGTAGATGATACAATAAACACAAATAAAAATGACCTTATAAATGAAGCAGAAAATTCAAATATATTATCATCAACAATATCAAGTGATAATGCACGAATAAATAGTTCATTAGATACAGTTATTTCACAGTCATCAACAACTGAACAACCAGCTTTTACACCTTATCGTTTTCAATTAGAAGGTCGTCGTCGTTTAAATACTGTTGAACGTATGAGAGAACGTCAAAGTCGTGAATCACTTACTATGACTGATCAACAACAACAACAACCAACAGTAGTAGCTCAAACTGATTATACAGTAAAATCTGAAGAAATACAAGATCCTATAATTCGTCGTGCACTTGAACGTTTTGATGAAAAAAATCGTACATTAACTCAAACAAAATCAATGAATTATGATGAAATTCAAGATCCTGTTACACGACGTGCCTTAATGCGTCTTGAATCAAATTTAAAACGAACAATTCCTCCTACTCCTCCAACAACTACAAATGATTCTAATGAAACATGGTATACGGAAAACTATACACTTGGTTCATTACAACCTGCAAATGATCGTTTATCACGTTATAGTGAATCATCACAATCACCAACATTTAATAATAAAGCAAAACATATATCAATACATCAACGTTATGGTGCACCATCATCATCAACAGATATGTCTACAATAAATGATATGAATTCAACTAATGAAAATAATATACCTGTTATGCGTGTACCAGCACAACCAATCTATGTTACATCAAATAATCAACAACAACAACAACTACAACCTCTTAGTTTACGTCAACGATCACGTTCAGAAGATATGCTTACATCAAGAGATTTGGTAATTGGTCAAACAACAAATCTTGATGATGTTGATATATCAAATCAATTACAACGAAATCGTTCATCCAATGAAATGTCTACAAATCAATCTGGTTTTCATTTACCAAATACATTAATTAAAAGTCTTGAACCAACATTTGTTCGTACAGCAGAATCATCTACTAGTTATGCAACACCAACACAATCATATTCTACATATAGTTGTGAATATACACGTCCACGTCGTAATGTTGGATTACCATCAATAGAAACATCAACATCATTTAATCAAGAAACAAATCAATTACCACCGAAATATGGTCAGCAGAATGATATACAACGTCCAACACCATATCGACCAGCTGTTGAAAATCAATATCAAACACAACCATCATCTGCTTTTGCTGCACCTCTTCGTTCTGCTACAATTCCATCAACAAATAATTATTATAGTCAACAATCTTTACCAGCACCTTCGTATAATTCAATGTATACATCAAATAATTCGAATCAATCACCTTATTCTGATGATCCAATGTAAGTTTAAAAGCAGAAATCTCTTTTGCATATAAGGAAATATTTCTTTTCTTTTCTTTTCATTAAAGTGTTCGTCGAGCACTTGAACGATTTAATTCTCAAATACAAAATAGTCTTCTATCAACAAATCAATATCAACAACCAAATAATTATTCATCACATCAGGGAAATTTTCAAGATAATTACCCAAATTCAAATCGTTCAACATTAATGACAACAAGTACTAGTAGTAATAGTAGTATGGGAGGTTATCAATCAATAATAGGACGTCGTCGACAGACACGTCATGATGATCTAAATAATTCTTATATTGATAATACAAGTATAGGTGATGGTTATTCATCATCAATATTTGGTAATTCACATAATCCATATACAATGGGAAATCAATATATGAATATGGCAGATGAACCTCCAGCTATTCCACCACGTTTTCGTCGAGAAAATTTTCGAAATGATGATATTAATGATGCATATCGACGACATTCGATTGATGAATATCTCTCAGAAAATATTAATAACAACAACAATAATAGCAGTCAAACACTTCCACGAGATACATTTATTCATCATGCATATCCAGCAACAATAACAAATTCATCAGGTTTTCGACCAATCGATAATCATTATAATCAACAATTTGATCCATATAATACAATATTACAAGAACAAGATGATTTACGTGATCGAGTACCATCACCATCAAGTATTCATTCATCAGAAAGTTCGAAACAACAACGACCAACAAGACCAAGTCATATTCGAGCACCAATGATTCATACACAAAGATTACCTCCACCATCTGTATCCACACGAACAAATCTACACCAACAAAATGGTCGTAGAAATAATGAACAAATGATGTCAAATAAAATGTCACCAGATAATTCACAATCACCACCGTCAGGTAGAAATTATTTCATTCTAGATTTATAATCTTATGCATAATTTATCGTTAGACTCTCTTTGCTTCATTGAGCAGAATTTCTTAGTTTAAGTACATATCTGGCAAGCGAATATATAGATGTTCGACATTATTATTAATTATTCTTGAGCATTTTTTATACATTCTGATTATACTTTCTTGATAATAATCTATTCCATACTCGGAATAAATTATAGAAACTGAAACCTTTGAAAATATCCTTGTGAACATTAATAAAAAAAAACCTATTCAGGGTTACATTGAAGCCTTATAAAAAAAACAGCAACATTTTCAAGTAACTAAACGATTCTCATCAACAATATTAGTTTAGATTAAAAATAGCTTTTCATAAGACTAATGTCCTTGATATCTATACAATTATTTTGTACAAAATATTATTAGCTTTTATGTACATATAAAAACAAACAGGAAAATTAATTCCACTAGACTAAGTATAAATATTTAACGATACGAGAGTAATTAGTTTATTTTTTTCTACAATGTTGATCAATAATTTCGATATTTTAGGTCAAAATAATGGTCATATATCAGGAGATTCTGTATTTCATCGTCTTGCTTATACAGGAACGAAAGCATCATTATCAAAATCAAGTTCAAATTCATGTTCAAATTTATTAAATAAAAATTCATCACAAATTCCATCAAATAATTTAAAATCATGTGAAATTGAATTTGAAGAAACATCAAAACCAATTGAAAATAATAATACGAACGATGAAATATCATTATTAACAAATAAATGTCAACGTTCAAAATCTGTTGATGGTCGAGCTAGATTAAAGAATTTGCAATCTCGTACGGCTTCGACGACGACAAATAATAATAATAATCAAACAATAATTGATCATGAAGAAAATGATATTGATGATGAACAACGAACAGTACCATCATCAAAATTTATGCCTATTAATAATGGTCGTCGTGATGGACCATCACCACGTGTACCACTTACACCAACGAGTGCATATCGAACATCATCATTAAAACGTCCATCTAATGGAACTAGTTTTACATATACAAAAGATAATCAAGGTATTCGTACACAAAGTTATAATGGTACTCCACTTGAATCTGAAAGTCAACAACCGGAAATTGAAAATGATGAGAATATGTCATATAATGATGATAATTATCAACCAAAAATATTAGATAATAGAATACGTACAGCTATTCCTGTTCATCGTTATGGAAATAATAATAATCATAATCATAATCAACCATCACAACCGATATCATCTGTTACAAATACACCATCACGAATAAAACCACCAACAATAATTCCAATTACTTTCGATAGGAGAGATTCCAATTCATCGACGACAGATGTTAACAACAGGTTCGGATTAATTAAAAAATATATTTTTATAGTTTTAACTTATGACCTTGTTTTAACGAGTACTATTTCATTGCATGAAAGATCATCTTAATAGATTCAGTTGAATAAGTTATTCGTATCAGACAAGGTCTAATTATGTACTAGTATTTAGATGCTAACTGTATTGGAATGATCGAATATTAGTTCCATTAATTACGACACTCATTAAATCTTGTTATCTTTCGGGGTGTCTGTTCGATTGGTAGCCATGTATATCTAATTCTTATTTGATTATCATAAGGTTGCTGTCGGGGAATGTCAAAGACATCTATAGAAAGAATCAGATAACAAGATCTTATATCTAATTATTAGATTAAAACAAAATGTATTTTCAGAGTATCTATAAAAAATTAATAGAATTAGCATCTTCATCATCATCATCTTGTTCTAATTTACAATAAATCTATTTTCAGAACACCAAGACGTACGGATGAACATCGTCGTTCGTCTCCTACTGGTCAACGACGAAATATACCTGTTTCAGTTTTTTCACCAGCTAAACATGATACTAAACGTCCAGCACCTGCACCACCCACATATAATTATGAATCTCAACAACCAACATCTTACTCGGCTCGTTTATCAACCAATGATAATCATTATACTCATAAAACTAATGAACAAGACGTGGATAATAAAATATCTTCAACAAATTCTGATCTCAAAACATCAACAGGAAATCTTATGAATGAATTTACAACTACAACCGATAAACATGATAATAATAATAATAATAATAATAATAAAAAGATGAACGTCTTTGAACGGCTCTTTCGCGGTAATAAGAAAAAAAGTTAATTCAAATTCATCTTGTAGATATTATTCTTATAATACACGCGCATTTCATACCCGTTTGTGAGAATGACTCTTAATAATTATTTTATTTGCGCGTTCGCATTATTTTTTACCGGTTGTAAAACGAAATCTTAACTTACGAAAGATCAATTTTCTATTCAAAAAAGAGCCTCTGCTTTTTCTTTGTGTTGCTTTTTTTTAAACAAACGGTGTTGATGTTTCTTTATATTGTTTAACCTAATTTTCCTTTTGCTTATACTCTCTTCATTTATATTGAAAGCACTCTGTTTTTCTCACGTTCTTTTTTTTTGTGTTATTTTTGTATTTTGAACAAAAGATACGCATCTTTTGTCTGAAGTTTAGATTAATAAATCAGCCGGATCGAGCGAATAATGCTTTATTATATTATCGTTCTTTCTTCGATATATATCTCAAAACCCATCTCCAGCATTTTCGAAAGATCAAGTATTCAATAAACAGTTTGTTTGCTAGTGACATCAATGGATAAGAATTGTTACTATAATCATTTTTGATTCGGTGATACTATCTTTTTTTTTAGACCAAACTATCTAAAGTTAGGTATAATACAAACAGTTATTTAATATTGGTAATATCAACAGTCGTAATATTAAAACTCGGTTTTTGTTTGATATCATTATAAAATAAAAATCCATTAGTCACATTCTCGAATATAGTCCTAGAGAGAATAAATATAAACATGATTCATCATATCTTTCATTTCGTTATATGTATTCACATGGCTATTTCACAACAATGTGAAATTACTATTTACTGTCAATAAATCAATATAACAGGTGGTCGTCGTTTCTGTAAATTATAACTTTGACATTATTCCTAATTGAAATAGGTTTGTTAATTTGCTTTTGACAATTATTTCTTTTGTATTTAGAGATGAAAAATACCTCGTTTGTTAAATATACATTTTCAGATGTCTCGTAATAAACGTAAATTAAATATTACCGAGTCAAACACAACTGACATTGAAGAACCAATAGAAAAATATGCAAAAATTGAATCTGATTCTACTGATCTTCTTCGTTTAGACGATAAAAATTTTAATGAAACTGATTATCAAAATGCATTTCAAACAATTGCTAATAAATTAATGAATGGATATGAATTAGTTATAAACAAAGAACATAATTTTCGTTTATGTGAAATTGAATTTTATTTATATCATCAAATTCGTCATCAAGATACATTTGCACATCGACATCCTGAACAAATACATTATTCAAATTGGTATTTTCATCGACAAGGTACATCATCAACAGCTAGTTATAAAGGTGGAACTTACAAGTAAAATAAAATTAAATACATCTATTTTTAAGCCCTTGTTTTTTT